ATAACGTCCAATACTGGAATAGTACACATATAGTTCAATCACAGTAGCAAATGAAATTCCTGAAAAATAGCAAGAACTCTAATAGAATAACGTAACAATTTCTTCTTTAACCCTGATATAAGGGTAAATTAATAGACTTATTTATAAGCATTGAAATTTAGAAGTCTATTAATAGGATAGGACTGGTCGATAAAATGTTAAGAAGCGTTGACACAGTTTTAGAAGCAAAATAAAGGGTTTTACTTAAAATTCATATTTAGCTGATCTTCATATAACATATCTTAAACGTGTTAATTCACACAGAGATCCCAGATAGCACCGAGAAACGTTCTGAGAATGTTGACACAGAACGTCCTCAGGACGTTCCACTTTGTAAATAGGACCTTCCTAGGATATTTAACGATCTTAACGAAGACGTAGGGGAAACACGTGGACACCCTTTTCCGAACATCCTCCGAATGTTCCGTACGTCCGGAACGTACGTTCTCTGGACGTATATATGACGTTTTTGTGCTATTTGGGATCGTATTTCCCTCTACCTAATAGAAGCCTTGATACTTGTAATATTTATTCGAATAAATGTGATTAGTTATTGTAGGATCGGAAGTGATCAAATGTCAGCAATTATATCTGTATTCACGATCGCTAATTAAAGAGAATTTCTATCGTGCAACGACATGAAACTCGTAAAGACAATAGGATCGAACACGTTAAATCGACCAAACTTCTTCTCTCTTCTTCATATTGCGCCCTGACCCTGAGGCGAAATATTCCATTGAAACTCACCCTCCGTAATCGGTTCGCAATAATTGCGCCTTCCATCGGTCATAAGTTATGATCTCACCGATAACTACCCGACACGATTAAATTGTTACGATTCAACGACGAAAATTGAGAAATCGATCACTGCAAAATTATATGTGTATAGCGCGCAGCAATGTTCGCGATGGTTTCATCGAAACCATTGATTGCGTCCTAAAAAAAGTTTTGGAAGAAATATCTTGGGAAAGGAGTAGCAAAAGGGAGAAAGAATCGAATGATGTTCCAACGAGCAATATAAGTTCTATAGTAAATTCATTTTGATTGTATACCGCGTGCCCTTTGCATACTATTACAATTTCAAATAAAACAATTGCATAGAATGTAAACTACTACAATTTTAAAAGATAAGAGAATGACGATTTTGGTTTTATGATACGAAAGAATTGGTGTAGCCAGGAGGAGCAGAGAGGGTCACTTGTCACTTGCACCCTCCCCCCAGGGAAAAAAGTGGCCTTTGGTCTACCTTAGAGCAAAAAATTGGATTTAACCCTCCCCCGCCCCTGCCCTACAAGAGAAAAATATTATATTAATTAATATTTTGTATGTAAAAATAATTCTAAAATCCATTTGAAGGAATATTATGAAATTTACCTTAAGATACATTTTGCACCCTTCTGACTGATAACCTGGCTATGCCTATGTATAGAATAATGTTTTTAATCTCACAGCTTCTTCATCTAACCATATTTTCGAAAAAAATTGTGGCTTTACGTTCTGTTGAAATTTATTTCGTTTATCAAAGGGTTCAAGATGATAATACGTGTCTCAGTAATTACAATCGAATATTTTATTAGGAAAGGGAGTCGCCATTAGTGTTCACCTTGCTATACCCGATCTTTTTGCCATTTCGTTTCGTTTCGAGTAGTCATTTCGTACGATTGAACTTTATTACGAGCACGAGCTTGCAGTGAATATGGCCAGGAAAAAAAAGTACGGTTCATGGAAAATATTAATGGGCTCGTGTAGTCCAATAAAACCAAATCGATGACACGACATATCGCTTGACCCAGTTTTCGGTATACGACCAAGTATTGTGATTACCGGGTCCGCAAAATCAGGTTACTTTGTAAACATACGTATCGTGACTATAAAATTTCGCGACCGATATTATCTTGATTCAATGGAATCAAGATTCATTGAATGAGAAATTTATTTCGAACGAAACATTTCGATAAGCTCACCATTGCACTACTACTTTGTTATTACATTAACAAGCAAACTTTTCATCTAGATCAGGCATCGGAATTAACTGATCGTTCCGGCCGATTTGCGGAGGCTTTTATGAATTCAGGACATGTAAATAAACATAATCTGCATTATTGGGCCGTTGGCAACCCATATTGGATGCGATCTGTTCCCTTTCAACATCGATGGTCTTTAAATGTTTGGTGTGGCATAATAGGAGATTTTGTGATTGGACCTTATTTTTCTGAAGAAGCTGTAAAATCTGAAAGTTATTGTGATTGATTAAAAAATCATTTGCCCGCGCTTTTGGAAGATGTACCACTACACATTAGAAGAGAAATGTGGTTCCAACAAGACGGCGCTCCTCCACATTTTGCAATCATCACCAGACAATTTTTGAATGAAAAATTTGGGAACAAATGGATAGGTCGTGGGGGACCTCATCAATGGCCTCCTCGATTCCCCGATCTAACACCATTAGATTTTTTCTTATGGGGATATGTAAAAGACAAAGTTATGTTTGAACCGTCGACGACAAAAGAGAATATGAAACAAAGAATACGTAACGCTTGCGCTTCGGTGAACTCGAACAACTTTGATATTTCGAGTAAATAAATGTTTACAAGCCCGTGGTGGACATTTTGAACATATAATTTAAAGAACATTTTATTTCTTCACGAATAAGCAAAGGACTCAAGCGCGTATAATTCAATAACGCAATTTCCGAGTGCTTCAAGTAAGTACCTACAAGTCGAAATTTCAAACTGTTATATCTCATCATGGAAATATCTGACAAAACAATGTTTCAGACAAAATTTACTTGTTTTTTCCTGTAGAATCTAAATATGTAACGTTTTATAGGGACTTTTATCGCCTTTTTTTTATCGCCCTTAAAGGGGTGGGGGGCCACTTCACGTTTATGTAGTTATAAAGGCCCTTCAGATTCATGCAATTTAAGACTAAGAACTTTAAAATCGATGGCATAGTTTTCGAGATATTGAGCTGTTAAGAGTTATGTGGGCTTACCCTGTATGTTATGTATAATTGAAATGTACACAAAAACTTCACTATCTCGAATTATACGGAGGTGTTTCTTCTGGTACTGATTCTCAAATTTTATATTGGTGATGTAGAATCTTCTCTTTCAGTATCATATAAACAAGAAATACACATTATGTTTGCTTTGGAGTGCTTCCTACATACAAAACTTTTACATGTCTGGCATTTAATTGTTGTTGTACTATTAATATATTAATACACATCTTAAATCGTCCCCGGTTTGGCGATGCGGATGATGTTTGAACATGTATGTTATTCATTCACATAATCAATTTGATTAAATATTAAAATAATCATTCAGATAATGGTACGAATAACTATTTGAACAATTTAAAATAAACGGTTATGTTAGAGCATTAGGTGAATAAATTCTTTTTAGTCTTTATGTAATACTGAACTTTGACTCCAATGTCGTACGTTCAAAATTCGCTTCCATTTATATTGAGTGACAACTTCCAAATGATTTTTCATATTTTTTATAAAACTTATTTTTCGTGTAACTTTGCTAATCTTCTCTTGCTATGTACCGTTTATTATATTCTCTCCAGAGAGAGGGGTGGGGGGAGAGGGGGGAGAACGGCAGGGAGAGGGAGAGGAAGACAGAGTAACGAAGCGTCGCTACAGCAAATGCAAGACAATTTTTAACAAAGCAACGAAACATAACCTAACATAACATTGGTTTGTGTTCGACGCGCCCACGAGTTAATATGTACGAGTATCGCCCTAACGCGCCACGTGTGGTTGATATGGCACGCGCCTGAGGTGGATCGAGTTTCTCGGCGGACACGGGGGCCAAGACGTGCGGCGGGAGAAAGGGGGCGTTGCCTCCGAAAATCGGCCGAAACGATCAGTTAATTCCGATGCCTGATCTAGATTAAACATTTCAACAAACTATTTCTAAGTTAGATAGAAAAACTTAGAAAATTGGGCAATTTCATTACGGAATTAAATATTTTTCTCCTCCTTAAAGCAGGTTCAATGCAGTAAAACTTCATAATTTACGAATACATCATACAATGTAGGTACTTATAAATGAGCAAAGGACTCATTACTGTGTTCTAAAGAGACTCATTATGAAAGCTTAATTAATTTCCAGATTAGATTTGAAACATAAAGATAGAGCTTTCCAAATCACACTATCTGTTAGAAAACATCATTCACATGTTCTTCTTGTTTCCTTGTATTATACAAATTATTCAGTTCGCAAATAAAAATCACACCACCATTGTTCACGCTTATATCGCACGCAAGAAAATTTACGTATTTGTTGTGGTCAGTTATGAGCCCGAAAACAAGAAGCAAAAGAAGAAATTATAGGATGCTTATAAAATAACTGATAAATAATACAAACAAGCAAACCATTCGTAACATTTGGCGGGTTGAGAATCATAGTGGTGTAAGTCACATTTGTGTGGTTTCCCGTAAAATGATGTTTTGCGTTTATTCTCTTAAAAAACTCTATATACCTACCTATTGAAGTTGTAAAAACACGTACGTAAGTTCAGAAAACTGTTAAAAAAAAATATCTATACGTGAAAATTGAAGTACGAAAAAGGATTTTATACAATCGAGAAGCGAATTAAGTAATTAAGATTGACTTACACCACTGGTTCTAAATATTTTGGTTAGTAAAAATAATAAGTAAAGTAGTATTTTTATGAAATGAAACTTTTTTTATTAATATCTTTTTTACAAATGTGTATTGCTAAAAAGTATTGTTAAAAAAATCCAGAAAATAGCATTAATATTTAAAATATTATGTACCATCACATCAGAACTAATCATTTTTACATAGGTACAATTAAGAAAAACACAAATTTGTATTTACATAAGATGGGCTTACACTACTATGATTCTCAACCTGCGATTAATGAAGGTAGAAATAAAGTTTTGTGAATCGTGGCATGTATTAATAAAAGGTACTTCTGGCATAGTTTCCTTCCAGAGGGATTCTTTCGACGAGAACCAGCCAAAAGAGCAACAACCCTCGGCAAGAGAGGAGAAAAAAACAACGCAACCGCGGCTTGCAATCGTTAACCACCGTGGAAACGGCGGTGACTCCTCGTCGACCGAGGAAACGGTGCCTTGGAGAACGGACATCCCCGGCTTGGCCCTGCCTGTTCTGGCATTGATTCACGATAAGGAGGAGGCTCACAACGTACCGTTGACTGATCGCGAAAAGAGATGCCTAGCGGTGCCTATCGGTGATTTACACGACAAAAAACGGAAGCTGCTGAAAACACGTAGCGCGCTGTCACGACCGTAAGTACAAAAATAAAAGAAAAAAAATCGAAAAGTTTCTTGTGGCAATTAGGAAGAGCCTATTAGTTTCCTTGAGTATGAAATTTTCGTATTCATTGGGAAGAAACGTTTCCCGGGAATTATTGCAAGTAAAACAATCTATCCAAAACTGGAGTAAAAATAATATCTACATATGTATATAATAATATGCACGTAGAGTAAATTTCTTCCATCGTTGATGCTACAAGGAATTGTATACCAACGTAATAATAAACACTCGACTTTAAAGATCAAACAAATTATTTCCCTTCAACGATGTTGCAAGAAGATTCAAAATTAAGCAAGAACTTGGAAAAACTTATTAAAGAATGACTCGCGCAATTACATACTGAGAATCATGCTACATTATTCGAGTAGTTGAGGGTTGAAAGATAATTGATTCTATGCTGCATTGTAACCGCAATGTCTTGGCTACATGGAATAACCATTATTTTAAACAGAATTAAGTTTCTACATTAAAAAGTCTAATGTACTTTTATGCCATTTTTATATCGTGTTTTCATCCCTCTTCTTAGATTTATATTCATAAACATTAATATTTTACAATATAAATAAAGTAAAAAAATATGAATATTTTTATTTCAGTTGTAATGTCAATCTCACAAGGAAGGTTTCTCAACCCACAGATTCCGATTTTCTTGAAAGCTTGTGGGATTCTGGAGGGCATCGAGTTATACAAGGAACAATTTTTTTTTATCCGCCGACTCGCGTTAAATGGGTGAAATCATCCTTTAAAGTTTGCTGTATTTCTCGTTTTTTCAGTATATCTTGTTAACCGTAAGCGATAGAAAGAAACTTTTAATAGGCGAGTGCCATGGTTTTTTATGTACAATAATATGGTGCTAACAAGTTGTCCAAAACACAATTTATTTATAACAAACTAATTTTATTCTAATTCTATTGATCATCTGATATACAGGGTGTTAATTTTAACTCGAACACCTAAATTATTTCCGCTACTATTTAAAGTAAGAAAAAATGATTAAATAAGATGTACATGGTTTAAAGGTGTGCATCTGACGGCTGATAAAATATTTTTTTACTTCTTATTACGTTTATTTACTTCTGCATTCTTCAATGTGAAGCTGATTTCTTCGCCTTCAAGGTCACGGTGTGTAGGTCGTTGAACTCATCTTGATGCCGCTATCACATCGCGTTCTAAAAAATACATGTTAATATGCAAAAAAATACGATGACCTTGAAAAACCCGTTAAAATGATCTTCACAGGATCTTTTTATCACCATCAGATGCACGCCTTAAAACCATGTACACCCTATTTAGTCATTTTTTCTTACTTTCAATAGTAGCGGAAATAATTTAGGTGCTCGAGTTAAAATTAACACCCTGTGTATATGTAGTTATGAAATTGCCTTCTACAGTGTCGCAGATTTTTATTATATTTATACATAATTCCCGTGCGTACGCCCGCTGACAAGGCAGGTTTCTCAACAAGCAGATTCTGATTTTAATGAAACTTTGTGGGACTGTAGAGGCCATTAAAATGCAAGGAACAATTTTATTCCGCTGACATTCACTTTAAGACGGTGAAGTCACCCCTTAAAGTTTACCGAATTTTTCGTTTTTTTAGTATACTTCGTTAAACATAAGATATAGGAAAAAACTTTGAACGGGAAAACTGAATGATATTAAAGAACCTATCAAACTGCAAAAGGAACAAATACACATACATATACCTATATACATGTATAAACAGCAAACATACGCGACGAACACATTTTAAATTCCTTATTTCACCGATTTATTCTACAAATCAATTTACATTGAATACATATTTTGTTTGTTTACGAATTTTAGTATCGGGGGTATTATTCCCCTTGTATAGATTTTTAAGTTTTCACAAGATCACAAAGTTTCATTAACATCAGGACCTACGAATTGGGAAACTTCCTTGTCAGTTTGATATAAACCAGAAATAATACAGATCCAATGTTTTTTAATTGCTTCAAGTAAAAAAATTTGAATAAGACGTCGATCAGATAAAATCTAGTATAACATTTATCACAGGTTCATAATTTTTGTCAACTATGTAATACAACCATTAGTAGAGGAAATCAATTCCGATCCAATTTCTAGTTTCATAAATTGGATCTAATTATTCTAAAATAAAATAAAGATCTAAAATAAAAATTCAATAACAGAAATTTCCATTAGAAATCTGTAACCGACAATATAATTGTGTAACCACGAAAGCGATCGATTTTCTCCGGTTTTATTATGCCTGCGTGACTGGAACTCTTTCTCCGTGATTTTATCTGAATACGATAAATAGAATAACAATTATTTTCTCCTATCTCTGGTTTCGATTGCACGAAAATTTATGCGATATCGACGGAAGACTAAATAATGGAAAGAATATAAGAAGCACACGATGATGGAAACGGACATGATGGTACGATCGTGAACGAAAAGATGTATTAATAGTTCTTATAATACGAAATCGTTTCTTCAATTAGCTCAAACAATCTTGGCAACAAAGTTGGCTCTATTTATCTTTACAGATTCTTGCGTTATTTAAGAAAACGAGTTTTGCCGGATAATTTAATTTCATTGCAGAGGAATGGAAAAACTGGCCATGCCACGGGAAATAAAAATACAGGAATCGCCAAGGACTGTATCGCAGAAAATAGAAACTTTTACGCAACATATAAAAACGCCGGTGAATAATAATTCTTCGTTAAGTGTAAGATAAATATTTTGTTGAATGGAATAGGTATCACACAAAATTAATTTTATAAAATAAATGGTGAATAAAACTTATAGGTGAAAGAGACATTTCCAACAGCTTCGAAAGAAGCAGCTCAACAAGTACAGTCGCTATCTACGGAACCCCAGTTTCATACCAATAAAGAGAAAGAATGTTGGCATCTTTACAGGAAGATGTGTGACAAAGGTGTTTGCGTGTCCTTTGACACTGTTTTAAGGTTCGAATATTAATAAATAACTCTGAAAGCGAAAATGCATTTTTAAATGAATAATCAGATACAGTATCGTTGAACTCTGTGATTTATTCAATGTACCTAGTATGTTAGTTTAATCAATCTACCACCGCAAGAGAAATAATAGTTTTAGAAAAGATGAAACTATCACCTCAACAATTAAATTTTCTATTATCTAAACATATTTTAAGTTTGTACTTAGAGCACTTTTCAATAGTTAGTAAACACAATGTAAAAACTTTTACAACAATGAGGAATGTGCTACAAAGAAATAAATTCTAATGTCCAAATGTCCAGAGTACTACTACTTATGTACACAAAATTTACTTCTAATTTTCATCTGGATTATTTTCCCATGACTTCAACAATAAAAAATAAATATTGGATTATACAACTAATTAATCATTTTAACGAAATTTTAAAAATATTAGTCTTATACGTAAGTTATGGTCGCACCACTTAACAATTTGTTACAGAAGTTGTTTTATGTTCCAGAGGTATGCTAACACCAACGGAATATCGATTGAGACAGAAGGAACATTTTTAAGATACACAATGAACGAAAAAATCGCTGGAAGATTATTTTTTCTGTTCGTACGAATTCCTGATAGTAATAGTTATGTAATAAATGGTGACTTGTCGCTATTTTTATTCAAATACTTCGAATAGTACGATCGCGTCCATCTAAAAAAAAATGTCATATCGAAGTACGTTTAAAAACGAAGATAACGGTCGAAGTCGAATAGCGATCTAAGCTGGTAGAGAAAGGGAGACATAGGCCAATATTATATTCTCTTTAGCGAACAAAATAACCGAATTAGTTCTACCGAGTTTTAGAACGAACATATTACGTATACATACCAACTGCCTATTTTTTAGACAATTTATTCACACGAACTTTGAGCTATTCCTACGAGGAAACGAGAACTATGAAACAAACTTGATGTTAAATATTGCACAAATTGAAATACGTGAGAATCGAACAACATCTTGAATAGTTCAAATAAAAAACGAAATCAGTTGTTATTCTATTCTTATGTATTTAAAATTTTATATGATGTTTATGACTTGTTCCTTTGTATAGCAATGTATAGTTCAATAAAACACTTAAATTGTTGTTAGTCACGTTTATTATTTAACATATTTATAATCATTGTGTTTAACGATTAATAGTACAATTTTTATTACAAATTTTATACGCATTTCAATTTAAATAAGTATTTAAACTATTTAAGTATCTTATATTTCATTTCTTTCATTCCAGTACCACGTATAGAATGTTTTGGTTAAATATATTTTCATCATCTTTTCACGAATCTTTTAAAGAAAGGATAGAAATTACTCCGGGGACTTGAAACATTGGTACACCACTGTTTCGTTCGCTTTGTCAAGCGACTGTCAATTTGACAAATATTGCTTTAGTGTTTGGCAAAGCAACGAAATCGCGAGTTGGTGGTTAGGATAAACCGATAGCAGGATGACCTGCACTCGTAATACTCTTTTGTTGTCATGACATACACGATTAATGATGTTTCTACCAAGGAAGCATGAGAACAAGGTTAACGTCGATTATAAAGCACGACTCGAGCACAAGTTATACCTGGTACGTTTCTGAATGAATGGAGGTTAATCGTTCATTTTGTTCGTACCATGAATAACCTTGATTCTTCGTCTATTCACCTTCGTATCTGCATGTAAAATTATCTGAGATATTGTCAATCACTTGTTATTCATTCAGCTTAAGAAATGTAGCGACAAGAGAAGATTTTAGAATCATATGTCAATGATACAACTCTTACATAATAATTTTTTTTATTACAATAGGCCAGAGAAAATCCTGAACCAATATTAGATGTGTCAGAATGTGCTTTAAAACAGGTGCCACCTGGCATTTACTCGTTATGTAAAGTATTTAGAAAAAAAGTGCTATGGATGCATAATAATAAGTTAACTTCACTTTCGGGTGGAGGTGCCTTAAGCGATTTGTCATTGCTTGTTGTCTTAGATATACATGGAAACGAATTTACCAACTTACCCTCAGACATAATGTGTCTTGCTTCACTCAAGGTACATATTATGCAAATATTTATTAGATATACATATCTAATATATAATACATAATAAGTTATAAGGTAATATTACATATGCTCCAGGAACTTTATTTACAAGACAACAATATAAGAAAACTGCCAAATGAAATAGTACAGTTAAGTAAATTAACAATATTAAATGTTGCAAATAATAATTTGAAACAACTGCCAGAAGTAATTGGCAAGCTGAAACTGTTGACTATATTAGACATTAGTCAAAATACGTCTCTTCAAAAACTTCCTAAATCATTGGGTCACGCACAACAGTTGACAAAATTAAACATTGATGGATTAAAACTGTCTTATCCACCTCAAGATATTTTAAATGGAGGCATAATAGTGATTGTAGCATTTTTAGCAAATGAGAGTGGTATTGAATATTTACCAGAAGAATCTGTTTCAGAAACAGAGTTATCCAGAAACATAAGTTCTGAGGATATGCAATCAATATATCTCGACACAAATAATGAGACACAGGTACCATACTTTACAGAACTATAAATTTTGATGTTGCACTTGCACGGCGTGCCTTAAGTGTTTTCATTTTTATTTTTAGGCAGCATTACAGAAGCTAGAACAAATGAAGGTATGTGGATGCTTCTTTTTTTTAATTATGCTTTCAAATGTCTTGCTTGCTGTGCACTTAATATTATTTATTGTGAAATTTAATTTTATGCATAATTGATTGTGTGCTTAAAAGTGAAATAATTTATTATACATATTCACATTATTTTTATAAGTTTACATAGTGCATGCGTTTGCTTTGATAGCTTCAAAAGAAATATTTATTTGATAATCCATTAAATTAAAATGTTATATTGTTGAACAGTTATGATGTAAATACTAAACCCTTATTACAGGAACATCGACAAAATGCATTGCTGGAGGTGGAAAAAAATATTAGACAACAGCAAGAATATGAGATCGGTATTCAATCAACATTAAAAGAACATAGAAAAAAGGTATTTAAAATTAAACCTATTATATATGTATTTTTTTGCAAAAAATCAAGTTTATTATTATTTTTCATGTGTTAATATTTTTGTTTTTAGCTTCTAAAGGATCTCGCTTTACAGCAAACGGAATTAGAACACGAGTTAGAAAAAGTTCAACAAAAAAAAGATTTTAACAGAGCACGTCTACTTTCCTATATTTACAACGGTACATTTAAAGTATAATGAAAATACTTGTTTGATGTCACAATTCAATCTATTTATTTTATTTCCAGATGAAAAAGCAGCAGATAATGTAATCAAAGAATTTTTAAGAAATAGTGAGGAAAAACGACAAACTCAAGCTGAATTGCTTGAGCGAGAAAAGCAAGAAGAAATGCAAATACTATCTTCTTGTCATTCAGAACAAGTCTTATTTCGTACCAAAGATACTCTTTGTATGTATTAAATGTACTGCATTTATTTATACTACAATTATAACTAGATATTTATGTATATTTTTTACTTTAGCATCAATGGAAAAATTACTGGAAGAAGAACTTTACAGAACCAGAAAATTGGAAGAACACAGCAAATATAGGGATTATGCTGCACAATCTTTGCTCACACTGTTAGTAAATCACTGATAATATTTCCAATATTTCAAAAAAATATATGAACGTAATATAATAAATTACAAGTATTATGAATATTTCAGAGAAGTAAGAAATAATGATCATTTAGCACAAATAGTACAAAATCAAGAAAAGAACAGACAAAATTTAATTGATACAATAAGACAAGATGAAGTTTTACAAAAAGCTGCTGTCACAGCATTATTGGAACGTAGCGATGCACGTTGTTGGAGTATTGTGCAACAAGTCAATTTGGTACAGTCGCAGTTAGCTGCTCTTACAAACATTGAATTGGAGAGGAGGAAACTAGAAATTAATCAACAACTTGTATGTACTATTAATGATTGTCTAACTCTTATATTTTATCTTAGTTTTTTTTTTATAAAAATGTTTCATCATTTTATACAACAGAATGAAATAGCTGAAAAAAGAGTAGCTTTGAGTGCTATTTTAGTAAATCTGTTGGACCAACAGAAAACTAGAAGAAATCAGCTTTTGGAAACAATCAATAACATAGAACAGCAAAGTTCCATCAACGTGAGTATAAGTTTACTTTCACTTAGTTACTTCTATAATAACGATTTTATGTAAAATCGTACTTTACTTTCTAAAGAATTCTAGAAGAAGAAGTCAGTTTTGGTTGATGCAATATCAGTCATTAATGGAAGCGCGTCCTCAGGGTTTATTGGAGATGTTAGAACCTTCACTAGTGCGACATGTGGCAATAGCTGGAGCATTACATTGTTTACCATTTTTAGCTTCATTACCAACGTTACTTCCGGATCTTAATGACGAAAAATTACAGAGTGTATGTAAAACACAAGTTTCTTGAAAAATATGTAAGAAACAATTGATTTTGAGATTTAAATGGTACATTTTTAATATTGTAGATTGGAATACATTGCGAGAGTGATCGTAATGCTATAAGGCTTGCAGTTGAAAATCATGTAGAGGAAGTTAAACTCCAAGAAGTCAGAACACCTGTAACACCTTCTGCACCGCCTGACGAAGCATGCACGAGTTCCAATTATCAAGAACATAACACGGCTCGGAGTATTAATACTGCAGAATGTGTAATTTGCCTTGATTTACAAGTAAGCATAATTTTCATTCTATTTGGAAATGCTTACAACAAAATCAGACACTGTGTCATTTTATGTGTGATTCTGTATTTCTTATAGTGTGAAGTAATTTTTCTACCATGTGGACATCTTTGTTGCTGTTCAGGTTGTGCAAATATGGTTTCTTCAGGTTGTCCAATGTGTAGAAGTGATATAGAACGTAAAATTCGTGTCATAATACCTTGAAACATGAATGATGCTTTTTTTTGTAAATAATTCTACTTAGTGTATTTATTCTTAAGGCTTTGTTAATAACGATATACCTTGTTGTTTAAGAATTTATACAAAAGAAAGTAATTTATAATATTATATTCATATACTTTAGATGGTCCTATTTATAAAATTAGCATTCCTTCAAACATACACATTTACACTTTTCCACTGTAAGTGCTTTTTAATTATGTAAGTCTTTTAGTGTTATGTTTCGTTTTTTCTTAGATTCTTGTTTGTAAAAAGTCCTTTTAAATCCTAGTCTGTTATGTTCCATTGTCATATTGACATTACTTTATACCAGTGATATAATTGTATTTAAAGCAGATTCAAATTGCCTATCTTTTTTAATATTATGTATAATGCAAATACTAAATATGTAAAAATAAAATAATAGAATGAATTGCATTTATTAACACTTGACTACAAATATCAATTTTTATATAAAATGATCACTGACATATCTACACATGTAATAGCCTTACGAATACTATGAAAAACATTTTAATCCATTGACAGTGGTTGAGAGTTAATAATGCAATAGTCAAGATAGCAAACAAGCTTTTATAAGTGATAGAAGTGAAGTTTTATAAAGATCTTTCTTACATATATCCAGTATCTTAAAAGTATTCATTAATAAAGCATTACCATTTTGTTGACTTGTGTGTATTATTCAAAGAAAAGTTGTTAAAATAAAAAGATTATGAAATGTTTTAAATAATTTTTATATGCTTACACTTTCTTATGAAAATATGTACCGAAGAAAATTTATAAATAAAAGCAAATTATTGAAAGCAATAGGAACATTTTAGTACTAATATATTTTATGTTTTATTTAGTTGTAATAAATAGAATATGACAAACTTCTTAGACTTATATATTAATTTTGTAAAATAGTATGAATTTGTGTTTTTACTTTTGAATATGTTGAATACATATTAAAAGGCCATAACTTCCCTACGTACATCTTCTTCTTCTATCACATCATCCTCATCTTTTTTCTGTTGCTTTTTCTTGGACGTTGCATCTTTCTTTTCTTTTTGAGCTTTACGGAAATTTTCTAATGACTCCTGTAGCGTATCAACAAACTGATCAAACTCTATGTCATTCATTGCATGAATCACATCTTGACCACTTATTGTTTTGCGATTTCCCTTCTTCGCAATTGTATTTGCAGAGGATGTTAAATATAATATAAAAATTGAAGCCGCCTTTGCTACAGCAGTTCTGGCATCTTTGGCTATTGTAACTCCTTCTGGTAATGCTTCTTTTATGATTCTTGTTACAACAGCATTTGGTAAATTAAGATCTTCGAGTCGTTCTGCCATCGGATTTTTTTAAGAATTTATTCTGCGGAAATGTGAACTCATTGATAATATAATTTAAATAGAAGTCTATTTATTTCGATACATGCTCTAAGGTTATGATTCGGCGTGCATGAAAGACGCAAAAAAATACAACATAGCAGATATTATTGAATTACTTACCTTATTCTACGAATATTATCTAAACAGATTTATTATTCAAACAAATTAAATGAAAAGCGTATCAAAACAAACAATTGATGCCTTCTGATACTCTCTTCTTATTTCCCGCTGCTAACAAAAACAATTGTGACACACGCAAAACAAATTGAAAGCAAGCGCAACAGGATATACTGATAGATTTGTCAATAAATGTTAATAAATGCAGAAATACGAAATTCTCTTCATTAATTGTATTATAAAATTTCTATCTATCCAACAATACTTCCATTGACTTCCATATATCAAACAATATCTAATGATACTTTTGTTTTAATCACGAACAAACTTGGCTTCCACTAGGGGAAAAAGTGAGGTAGGCGAAGAGTCTCTTACCGATTAGTTTTGGGAGTTAGTTTTTTCCCCAACGGGAGCCGACTTTGCTGGTGAGGTACTCCGACGAGCAAACTCGGCTTCCGCTAGGGGAAAAAGTGAGGTAGGCGAAGGGCCTCCTACCGCCTGAAGGTGAATTGAAGAGATTCTCCCAATTAAAATGCGTCCAAATTCGAGTGTAATTGAACAAAGTTACTCATACGTAATGTTGCGGATAAAAATGATATATTATTGAAAATACTCCGAATGATGTCGTATTTGGACTTATTTCCACCGACAGAATTTCCTCAGTTCATTCATGACACTTTAATGAATGTATACTGAAAACTATAAAAGATTAAATTTTCATTCATGCGTTTCATTCCTTATCTGTTTATATTGTATTTCGAACGTCGGTCGCTGGTCTTTCACGTTCACCCCTCGCTTTCCGTTCTTTAACCGACGGTGGGCTGAAGTAGACAAAAAAGTTTAAAAGGCCGCATATCGATGTGATTCATATTACACTATTCAAAATTCTATGCTGCTTATTTATTCACGGTACATTACAGTCTAGATGCGGGCGCGACGAAGATGATACGCTAAGTTCGCATGCGGCAGCAATTAGTTGTTAGTTCAAAATCTATTCCCGCTGGGCGACGAATGAAAAAATTGAGAGAACGTATGCGATTAATTGTGTTCTTTTTGCGTCCTTTATATGAAATATATGTGTCAGTACATACGTAACACCTGCATCAATTATGTCAATAAATGATAAATAACTATTGTTTCTCGGGAATGCCACTTCAAGTATTTTGTATGTAATTTCGTTAATGAAAAAAAATAAACATTATTGCAAATACGAATAGAAAAGTTTTATCATTGCACACATTAGTACGTAAATATTTTCATTTTCAAATCTCTTTCAGTCGCACCATTCTTTTCCTACGTTCGGCGAGAATCGAAATCTCGCCACGAGCCATAGGTATTCCATCGTTCTCGTGATGGGCAGAATTCTAATGCGGGACATGAGGCAACAGCGTAGGAAAAATTGATACGGTTCAACAACAGTGGCTTCGCGTAGCAGATACACGAACCCAACTTGATGGTAACAGGGAAGAAAATTTATTTGTAAGTGCCGTTAGATGTCGTATTATTAAGCTGTCGTAATTATCGATTATGTGTTTTCGTTAGTGTCGGATTGTTTACATCAGCGCTTCGATCGATTCGGAGTTGGCCCCAAAGAAGTCTCTCGCTTAACAACGAATCAGAAATAAAAAAGTTTCATCGTTGCATTAACGTTGTCTCGCGCGCCGGGCAACAATGTATGCACTCGATGGACATGACGGATGGAGCGGGAGAATGTACGACGATTAGTCAAAGCACTCAATCGTCAGCGATGGCCCAGAGAGCTGCCGACAAATAAAATGTAGCTGGATCACCTCCAGTCAAACGTATTTTTATTATTGGCCGAAACAGTACACACACAAATTGTGTCCAAATGACCAAATTAAAAGTCCCTTACCGTTGAAATAGCTTTTAGAAATTCATTACCGTTAGCCGTCGAAATTTCTGTCAATAAAGAAAATTTCCGGCAATAAAGGAATTTCCAAAATATTACAATGAGGCACATTTTAAATAGTTTTAAAAGACTATCGTACTTCGTTACTTTCGTTTGCTGCGAAACTTCTACTCAAAAGTGAGGAAGCGAAATTACAGAATAATTCAACAAAAAAAAAATAAGTTCATAGCAATCTTAATATTTTATCTTATGTTATTAAAATTACTATTTCAATTGTGTTTTTTTCTTTTCATATGGAGAAAAGCAAAAGACCATTCGGCATATACGTGGACCAGCTGCAGCGGTTTTTAGCGGATAACATCTAATTGTAAAAATAATTTATGTGTATACAACATAATATGTATGTATATAATAAAAAATTTAGACATTGAAGTGGAAAACATTTATTTTCTTCTTTTTAAATGCTTCCTGAATCAATATTTTTTAACTTTTTTATTTTACTTAGAGGTTACAAAGTGAAATTATAAAATAATTAAAAATAAAAAGTAAAACCGCCGCATTGGGATTCGAACAGGATTTCTTGACTGTTCACGCGCTTAGGTTGCGGGGCATCGCGTCGAGAACGTGAATTTTCGCCGCAGTCGTATTCGAACAGGATTTCCAAGGCAAGCAGTGATGCCAGAATCGTGGGTCGCTTCCCCCCACTCTTTTCTAAATATAGCTCACCGTCTCTCGAACGGCCTGCGCACATGGCAGGGCTGGGATATACCTGTGTGTGGTGTGTGCCAGCACGGGGACGTAAAGTGGGGGTAGCCAGGACGTCAGCACACGAAATGATTTCTGCGCACGCGCTCTGGTTGTTGGGAGTCGCGTTGGTAACGTAGATCTTACGGAAACACCCGAACGGGCCAGCTTACACGGATAGAAGCAAAGTATGCTTGTGTGGCAGAAACTGTGGAATAAAGTGGGGGTAGCCAGGACGTCGTGGTGGTGGAACCAAGTTCCACGATTCTGGCATCACTGCACACAATCGGACTGTGTGGTCGGCTATAATGTAACCATTCGTCGGCGAGAGCGTCGCACGCACAGTAGGAGTATTTGACACGAAAAGCTGGCCAAAACTATTTCAAAATTTACTCAATCTTCAAACTCTCATAACTTTGTTCCTATTCAACCAAAGTTGATTGAAATAAAAACCATTTTAAAGGTTGAACTTTCTAGTTTTTGGTTATTTAAACCAATTTTATCAAAATGGTTGTCTAGAGGGTAAAACTCACCCTTAAATAGGAGTGTGCCAAATTGTACTTTTCCTTGATGTTCGTCAAGTGCTACGCAGTGCAAACAATATCTTTTGCAATTTTGATATATACCACCGGAAAGTATAATCATTTATCTTTAAAATAAAGCAAACCTCATCGAAGAACGATCTTGTTTAACAAAGATACAGCCCTTTAAAGGGAACCTATATTTTTAAAATGTTTTGTGCACGGTAAGATATGTATATATGGTATAATATATACATATAATAGAAGGTCATCAACGAACCCTTGTCCTAATCAAATTAATAACATACTAAAAACTTCAATCGTCAGGAATTGACAGACGAAATTTACAATAGGTTAACAATCAACTGACAGCGATGGATGCACACGGGTCGATTGTATCTACGAACATAAACGTTCTGATTTATGGTATATAATATATAAAATAATATATATTTTAAGAATATTTTTTATTTGCAATATATCATAGAATTAATTTTCGTCAGAAAATGCTTTGCAAGATTCTTCATCAAACAGTATTTTTTGCTTATGATGTATCTATTCTTCATCGATCTATCCACACCTCAATTATCCCATCATCAGATCAACCATACGATATACGGCTATCGTATGGTCCTTTGCCTTCATAGCAAGCTAAACTGCATCCAAAACGGATCTTTTTTAACGAAGTTATAGTCATTTACAGAAACGCATAGCATTGAACGGTTCCATGCACGAAAAACATGACACAGTTTGGCTTGTTTTGAAGGCAAAGAATCATTATTTCTGAAATACATGCAAAATTCCGAACACTGTTGTCTATGAAGAACATCCGTTCTCAAGTATGAACAAAATTTTACAATTTGAAGATCCTCTTTATAAGGGAAGATTTTACCTCTTAGGCACCGAGTTAAACAAAATCGAACGAAAGGTTCAAGCTTTAATTTGCCTTTCATTTAAACAAATTCTGACGAATATTAACAAAGTTATGGAACATTAAATCTCAATCATTTTTCACTAGTTCACACTTTTGAACAGAACTGTAGTTTTAGCACCTCTTAGCACAATTTTTCAAGAAATATATAAAGTAATGTCCAAGGATAAAAATATATCAAAAGTAAAGGGGTGCTTTGGGGTACAAAATAGTAATTCAATGTTTTATACTTGATTTTATGAAAAAAAACACTGTTTTCAAATTGTTATTTTATCAAAACCACACACAAAAGTGTAGGAAACAAGATGCCAAATTACTCTACATACCTTCTTTTATATCCTACATATGTTGTTATTGCACTTCCTTAACATTACACTTGTAAAAAATCACTTTCTTAATATAGGTTTCTTGGCATTTTCTTAAAGCACAAAAATTGTTGACTTTCAAGCCTCAATTTGTTGCAAAATACTGCTGTTTTCGAAAAACCAAGATAGCAGGTTACTTTTATTCATTCTTAGGAACATAGAAACAAAGTTGCATTCATTTTGAACAAAGATAAAAAAGTTTTGGCCAGCTTTTCGGGTAAAATACCCCACTGTGTGTCGCAGGCGGGCCACGCAGCCGAGTCGAGTGGGAAAAGAAACTTTCTCTCTGTATCCGTAGAATTACGTCTCGTGTCGATTTTTGAGTTTACGGGACCACCTTCCATAAGAATTTCATAGTGGAGTCTGGTTCACCAAATGACTGTAAACTAGTGTTATTAGAGCCTAAAGTGACGTAAACAGACACATTGAATTTAGTCATTTCAAATATCCCGCTTCTCCGTACAACCATTTAAGGGGACAAGGCATCGAGTACACCCACGAGCAAACTCGGCTTCCACTAGTGGAAAAAGTAACGTAGGTAAGGACCTCCTATCACTTGGTATTGGGAATTATTGAAATTTATGCCAAATTAACATTCAATTTAACATTTATTTCAGTAGTTAAAATAAATTTATCAAGTGGTGGGAGGCCTTTCCCCTTCGACACTTTTGCCCCTGGCGGAAGCCGAGTTTGCTCATGAGGATACATCAAAGGTGCTGCTTGGAGTGTTGCTTCTTGTGGTATCCCTACTCTTTGGCTGTCTTTGGTTGCTGGCACGGTGGTGTTGAGTGGTATTCAGTGGTATTCGAAATCAACTTCATTTTCAACAATTTCTAAACTGACAGCTTCACTGTTACACTTATTGAATTCAAAGAAACTCAAACGAAAACACCATTCGGAGGAAAATGTCAAAAATCGAAGAAGGAAACTCTCATATACGCCAAGCTGAGAAAAGGTACTATCACTTGGAAATGACACTTCGCGTAAAATTCTGTCAACAATTAATTCGATTTTCGTTAAGTTCTTATCTGAAACCTGCAATACGGACTTTCAACGGAATAAGAATAATTCAATATTTATTGATTCATCCGATGAATTATGTTTTAGCTTAAAAACATCACTGTTAAAATGGAGACCCGATTTTGAAGTCGCGGCTGATGAATACACGAGTGCAGGTAAACTATATAACATAAATATATTATACTGCTATGTTTCTATTTAATACATGGACCTCTTTTTTATTTTAGCGACATGCTTTAGAGTAGCAAAGTCATATCAACAATGTAAAGATTGTTTGATGAAGTCTGCTGATTGTTACAAAGAAAATAGATCGTATCCTTTTTAAAATATACCTATCTATATTTTTAATGGAAATACTTGGAAATATTGATACTGTAATTTTTTTTGCTATATATTGTAAGACTATATTTATTCTTTAACCTGTATTGTACAAAAGATGGTTTCATGCTGCAAAGTGAGTTTATAAAATTTCTAATTATATTTCATCAGTAATGTTGTTATCAATAAAATTCTTAATATATTATAATACAACTTTTAGGAATATTGAACAAGCTGTGTTAATATGCAAAGAGATGGGCAATCTTGCAGATGTGCCAACATTAGCACACAGGGCTTGTTCCCTATATCAGATGCATGGATCACCTGAATCAGGTGCAAGTGTGCTTGATAAAGCAGGAAAGATGATAGAGGCTAGTCAACCACAAGAAGCATTAGAACTATTTAAACGTGCTGCTAATATTGTTATGGTAAGGTATTACTTCTTGTAATTGATGAAAGTTCACTTAGAGAATGTGCAAGTTATTTCATTTAAATAAAGGGAGAAGATAGTCCACGTCAAGCAGCAGAATACATGAGCAAAGTAGCAAGATTGTTAGTAAAATTGCAAATGTACGATGAGGCAGCAGATGCAATTCGCAGAGAAATTGGAATGCATCAGCAAATAGACCATGCGCCTTCTGTGGGAAGATTAACTGTAGCGTTAGTATTAGTACAATTAGCTAGAGGAGATCAAGTGGCAGCTGAGAAAGCTTTCAAGGAATGGGGAAATTATTGTGAAGCCCCTGAGGTATTTAATATATGTTTTAGTTATTAAAAATTTGTTGGCAAATATTTAACACATTTATCCTCAGGTTCACACACTTGAAATGTTATTACAAGCATATGATAATGAGGATGCAGATGCTGCAAAAGCTGCTTTAAATAGTCCTTTTATAAAGCACATGGATGTTGAGTATGCTAAGCTTGCTAGAGGTTTACCTCTACCACAACAAGAATATGCTATACCACCAGCAGGAGTAAGAGCAAATGCAGCAGAGTCATATACATCTCCCAATGCAGCTAAATTATTGGATGAAACTACTAATGATGGCCAAGTACGTAGTCTGTATATTATATTTTGTTATCCAAACAAAAACATGGTATAGCCTAAGTAACAGTTTTATTATACTTTTGAATGACTTTAACAACTTTTTAGAACATCAGTAACAATGCAGCTGAAGATACTACTGAAAAACCAACAGAATGTAGTGTTCAAAATGAAGAACAACCAGCATCCTCTCAAAAAGTAGAAAAAGAAGAAGATGAATATGAAGAAGGATTGTGTTGATTGCTTGTATTTATTAAAATCAGCATAATTTATATCTTGAGACATATACAAATTTTATTTTATAAGAGGTACTATATCATGTTAACCAAGAGATATATCCTAATGCAGAAAAAAGATTTTATTGCAGGCATGCTTATTATATGTACATGTAACTGTAAATCTCAAACTTGTTAAGTAATTCAGTGCACATTTTCTGGCTTGATAACAAGATCAACAAATTCTGAAGGAAGATTATATATAACATTTTACTATTATAAGTATTTCCAAAAATGTGATATATATGGAAAAATTTCACTTATTTAAAATTACAGTTGTATCAAATGTTTTAAATATAGTTTATTGTGTTAATCACAAGAAGCAGTTCAACAAGAAATATATAAATAATATATATGTATTTATGTTTCATAGTGTAAGCAGAGGAAACTTTTAATGCATAAATTCTTCACGTACTGATGCCAGCTTTGTAAGTGTTATATTTTTTAGTATTCATAGAATACCTGCGATATAATTCAACGTATGATTGCAAAGTCAATAAAACCATGTACATGAGACACAGATATTTTATTAGTCTAATTTTGTGTCTACACAATGTGAGTTGTAAAAAACATATGTAGTAAAATAAACTGTTATTGCAAAGATATAAATAACTCTTGTAATACATTCGTTTACACTATGGTGACCAGGTGTCCTGGATTAGGCGGGACTGTACCGTATTTGAGTCGTTTGTCCCGCATTGAAAACTATCATACTTATGTAACTTTTTAACATTTTCGCAATAGCACAAAGTTACTGTTTGCTCTACTTCCAGCTAGAGAGCGCTATTAACTGGTAACAAATGTTTCTACAGTAGACGATTATTTTTGGACATGTCCCGCATTGCAACCTAAAACATCTGGTCACCTTAATTTACACACGCGTCAAAAAAAGAGGTTATGGATATCCAAAATATATAAATATATATTTAAAATTATAACATAATTTTGCACTTACAATTTTGAAGTAACTGTCAGGGATACTGCTTCCTTTATAATAAAACTCCAAATAACTGTAAAAGAATTTTTAACGAAATACTTTCACGTTGTACAGATTATTTAAACATACACTTTCACTTGTTCCGTTTTAAAAGATTGCCGCGAAATTGTGAGCGTTGTGTAATGTCACCGACAAGGTATAGAATAGACCTACTGCACGTCACTTGACGTGTGGATCCGCCGGTAGTTCGTTTATGGTCGCCCGGTGCTCGACAGAGGTCTTTGTCGACGAAGGGTTGTAGCACCGACTAGGTATAGAATAGACCTATCATCCAATGCTTTTTTCTGTCCTACGTTCATAGGGCTACGTAGCCCTGTTACGTTTTAGTGTCAATACCCGACGTTACCGATAAAGCATGAATTCTGAGTATTATTAGCACAAATGAAGTGTTATATATTCCATTCATATTACGTGTATCTATATGATTTCACGAGAATAAAAATATCCGATGCTTCAGTTTAAGGTTAAGGGATCAATATGACAGTCATGAAACATGAAACGGAAAAGTATATATTTTTTCACTTAACTACAAGACAATTTATTCTAAATGCATCGTTAATGGACATTTTACTAATGTTACTTTTTACATGTTCTTGTTTTATTCGTTTTTATATCTTGCTTTACATTTGTATATTTGTAACAGATAAATTCAGAATAGATGTAGTTTCATAAATAATTTATTAAATCTACCTTTTGGCCGGCGGCTTACAATTTCCCTTGCGGGAATGCCTTACCGTAATGAGCCATCTCGTAACCGCGGGATTCCGGGAATCGGGTGACGTTACGGCGTGCGAGCGAGAGCGATAGAGCGAGCCGCGGTATCGGTGCTCTCCTTTGCTGTTGACGCGTGCCGAAGAATTTCGGTGGTCTATGGGGGGAGGTGTGCGAGCGAAAGAGTACGGTAGAGCGTGCCGCGGTATCGGTGCTCTCGGTCGGTCCAACGCGCTAGTGACGTTACGTCACACAGTTTATTGATCTAGCCGTGTACGCCGTACCACTCGTACCAGGCCGTACCATCCGGTGTTTGGGTCGTTCAAGGAGGAAGGTCGTTCAAGTCGACAAAACCAATTCAACACGAACAAACCTGCGTACGCCCAATACATAACGGCGTTAGCTTCCTCACTTTCTCGTGAGCCGTCGCGGAGGGTGGGCG